AGGGGGTGGGGGGAGGCAGACCGTCCATCAACAATCCGGTGGGGAGGAGGGGGACAATACATTATTCCTTCCTCACACATGATAACTAGAACATGGTTACGGGCCTGCCGATGAAACAGATGCCTTTATTATCTACTTTCCTGCAAACTTTCTTTAGTGACACGGTCGTCCAAACTGTCACTGCCACAACACCAATTGCCACTAGGCCTGCATGGTGGTGCAGTGGTTAGCACTGTTACCTCACAGCAAGGAGGTTCCTGGTTTGAATCCCCGTCAGACAGGTGCTTCTCTGTGTGGAGTTTGCATGTTCTCCCCAAGCATGCATGGGTTCTCTCCAGGTACTCCAGCTTGCTCCCACAGTCCAAAGACATGCTCGTTAGGTCAATAGGTGACTCTTAATTGCCTGTAGGTTTGAATGTGTGTGGCTGGTTGTCTGTCTCTACATGTCAGCCCTGTGATTGACTAGCAGATGTACCCCACCTCTCACCCAATGACAACTGGGATCGGCTCAAGCTCCCCACAACCCCAAACGATAAAGGCAGTATTGATGCATGGATGGAGGTTTTTGCTGACTGTGTTTGCAAAAGAGAAAAGTGAATTAAAGGAGTTAACAACTAGTCTGGTTTGTTTCAGTTTTGCAATACTTCAATTCAGCGGTTAGAAAAAATAACAAAAAAGTGCAACCAAAAAGGGTAAAATATCAGTAAAAGTGGTGAGCTTTGAGCAGTTTGTGCTGAGAAATGTTGGTTTCCTTATGATTTGACTAAATTTTAGCAAAACTACGTGCATGCTTCAGACTTCATGAGCGGAAATAAGTTTGGGTGTAATCAGTGCTTAGAAATTAACAGAAGACGCCGCTGTGAAGACTTGTTTTGCTCGGTGTAATTCCTCCATGATTAAAGGAAAAGCAGAATACACACGGCCGAGACATTTGCATCGTAAACAAAACAGGAGAAAATTCACTAACAGACATTTTCCAGTTGACACAAGGAGCCGCCTGTGTCTCTGGGTCCCCGAGTGTCTGCACTCCTGATTGCTATGCACACACATGTCTCGGTGGAAGGTGGCAGAACAAATTGCCATCATCTGAAATTCATGTGTGTCTGAGTGTAAGTGCATATTCTTGTGAGTGTGTGTGTGTGTTTGTGTGTGTATGTGCATGTTGGTGTGTGACCTTGACATATCGCTAATCCCTTGAAGGAGAGAGACTTGACCCGATCGCTGCAGGGCCAAAGATCAGGACTGACTCTGCATGCACATTTGTGTGTTTGTCTCACTCACCCTTGACTACAAGCCTGCATTTGTGTGTGTGTCATTATTAAGGGAGTGTGTGAACTTGTCTTTTGCTTGGGTGTCACCTGCTTAATAAACTTGAATTAAGCTGCCTGCACTGCCTATAACTCAGCTTAAGTGCTCTGCTCCAAATACGTATACTAGCAAATCACTCAGAGATTTAATATATCTGATTGTGTGTCTGACACTTTTACTGCCACAACACTGATTGCCATTATCCAGCTACAAACTGAGTATTTAGTAAATGCCTTGATGTGTTAAATCTACAGTTAATAACGCAGCCAAAGATGGCGGAGAATGAGAAAAAAGGGAGTACAAGAGGGAGCACGGGAACAAAAAAGCAAGACGAAAACCCTTAAAAAGAAGGAGACAATGGGAAAGGGAATAACAGGAAAATGAGTGGGAAGCGGAGAGATGGGAATGCGGGAGAGAAATGCTGAATTTGCTGTTGCATGGTGCGGTTGAAAAGACACTTTGCTCAGCAAGCTCGAGCTGCCAGGAAGCATTTTAATCACAACCGTAGATCCAAATAGGAGTGGAAAGCGGGGTAGGTCAGGGGGTTGGGTCGATTTGAAGTAAAAGGTTATCGCAAGAGGGGGCTGAGTGTAATCAGATCTGGTTAAGGGAAAAATAACTGTTTGAACAGAAAGAGGGGAAGTAAAGGACGCAGGGAAGGCAAAGTCAAAGGGGGAAAAATGTACGTTGCAAAAAAAGAAAAGAAGGCGAGAGATCTTAAGAGAAGGAAAAAGAGCCATGAAAGCGACTCCATCATTATTCCTCTTCAGAAACTCCAGCATAGGTCTGCTGTGCTTGAAATTATATAAAAGGCTGTGTGATTTTTTTTTAGGTTATGGATATCAGGCTATTTTTTGTATTTGACACTAATGTTAAAATGTCCATTTTGACATCCCAAATAAAAATGTTTACAGCCTGGACTAAGGAGCCGTTGTCTAAATAGCTAAGGTCTTTATTGGTGCATACTGTGTTATTTTTAATAACTCATCTGTTTTGATTACACTAAGACTTAAGAAGAAGCATAATTAAGGGGCGTAGCTGGTTGTAGCCCTTTGCTAGGAGGATAATCGCCCACCTCAGCTCCACCTCTTTGCCTGTTATTTTAGACTGATTGAAATTTAAATTGAGATTTTTTGGCATCCATCCCCGTTGGGCTTCAAAACTCCGCTTCAGAAACCAACGAGTGATGTCACTGAGACTATGTCCATGTTTTATGCAGCCTAGTTTCAACATGCTGGGAGTAGCTTTCGTCGGTATATCAATCAGTGACTTAATTTTTTAAGGTTGCCACTTGCTTGCCTCTTTCAGTAAATAAAGTGGAGACAGAAGTTGTAAATGGATGCCATTCAGAAGTATGTGTGCCCACATTTATTTCATGCCTCACAGGATAATTCAGAGTTCCAGTTGGGCCATCCCAGCCTCGGCCCTAAAGGGAGCATGTACGCCGTGCTGTTATTGAGATAATGTCGGACGAAAAGTGACGCCAACACTTACATCTTCCCTCTCTTTCACACCCACAAATGTTATGTTTGTATTCATTAATCATTGTTAAAAGGGCAACGGTACAATGTAGCCTTCAGTGTTATGAGTTCATGTCTGTGTTAACGTACGTTTACTCGGAGAATCTCAGACGCCTGTTTGCATACTCCAGCCTGCATCTTTCTCTCAGTGTGTGTCAGCCAGACCGAAAGCCAAAAACAGCACATTACCCAGCTTGCATTGCACCCCTAGGAGGCCCATTCCATTCGAAAAAGGTTATTAGAGGAGCTTAAAGGATATTTTCTGTCTGTGTCGCTAACTCTGCTAACAGTGAAGCGTCCTCACAGACGGGAGCGATGCAGATAGTGATGATGTTATTCTCTAAATTCAAACAGACTTTAAAGCTAAAGAGAGCTTTGAATTGACAAATATGATATTGTCGTACAGCGACACATCTGTCCGACCTCTAAACTGTGGACTAACACAGTATGTAAACGTCTTCACTATGCCTTTTTCCTACATCCAGACTGTGATGTATAAACATTATTTTGATAGCTTTTTTTTCTAATGACTGAACGACCAAAAGCGCATTTTTTTTCAAGCTTTTCTCCAAATGTGTGAAAGTGAGCATGCACATAAATGTAGCAACCAGACTCTGCAAAAGTAAAACTGTTCAAGACCTATTTATGGCCAAATAAAATAGCCAGAGTGAAAAAAAACAAGAGTCAACATGATGGATTTTCTTCCTGCAGCAATGGATAAGACCAACCTGGGAAAAGAGGATTTCCAGCGAGCGTGTCTGCTAGAGTGATACTGTCTGTTAAAGTACTACGCATGGGCATGTGTGCAGCTTGTCCTGAGAGTCTGCTGAATGGACTCTGTCAAAAGCCCCCAGTTGTCCTTTTGAGAGTTCACTCAAGCAGAGCCACCCTGTCAGTGTAAGCCAGGTACACCGAGGAGGAGGAGGAGGAGGAGGGGTCGATTTTGTTATTGGTATTTCTTCTCTGCTTGACCTTTCCATAACCGGAGCACTCAGACAAGTCCCTGTTGTCTTAAATGGCTGAATTGACCAGAGCAATGACGCTCGGAAAAACTACTGCAGTGGGCTCAATTCTCAGGCCGGTGAAAGCAGCTTTGAAGGAACAATCCATCCTGGTGTACGAGGCCTAACTTGTAAGAACAAACCGGGCTTTTTGAGTGAATATCTCAACTCCTGTGTGACACAGTTGCTGCAGAAACATCCTTTGGCCATCACTCAGAACTAGTATCTAACCCTTTCTTAACCCTGGACTCTTGATGGAATGTAAAAGGATTTCTAAATGTGATCATGTGTGTGTATGCGGTGTTACTTTGTAACGCTGTCTGCTACAATGATATTCAGCCTGGACGGGTCTTGTTCTTCTCGGTGACCTTATAGTCAGACTCCCAGTCGTCATATTAAATACTTCAGCAGACCATAACAGGAAGCTGCTGATGGTAGACTAAAGTGATAAAGATAAGTCTGGGGCCTTTTTAAACGTTTCCCACCATGAATCACTTGGGGACGATTATACCAAACTACAAGGCTTTTCCAACTAGTTTAAAGTGAATAGCTAAAAATGTATACCTTGTAGTATTCATGACCCTCTGGACATGAAACGGAAGCACAGTCAAAATTGTGATTCTTTGGGGCGGCAGTAGTTCCAAGTCTGTCGGGACTTGGGTTGTGAACCGGAGGGTAACTGGTCCAAATCCCGGTGCAGAAGAAAATATGTAAGTGGTGCAGTTCCTGAGTTCTGCTGAGGTTCTCTTAAGCAAGGCACCGAACCCCCAACAACTCTGTGTAGCAGTGTGTAGCATCTCTACTCTGGCAGCTCTCCATTAATGCATGTCCATAAGTCCTGCATGTTTGTGAGAGTGAATTTCTTTTTTTTTTTTTCCCTCAGGAAAAAAAAAAAAAATTCTGCATATCATCATTATCAAGAAGAAACATCCAAACGAGCATCTGGAGGAGATTACAGTATCTGTGTGATTGTTTTGTGTGTTGGTCTGCACATTTATATTTTATTTTTTTGGAGGGGTAAAGGACCTTTGATGTATCTAAAGTGATTTTACAGTTGTTGGTATAATTATCATGAACTCAAACGTGCTCTTACACTGCCTCCTTATTCCAGTGCATGACTATCTTCTAACAGATTCTCCTCACATGCGAGCTGACAGCAGCGTGTACTCACATGCGATGCGGACGTGCGCCTTGCGGCTTTTGGTGGTTCCAGCGGAGCTCCAGGCGACACACTGACACCAGTAATCTTCAGGACCAAACAGCTCCTCCACCTGCTGTCGTGTGATTTCTATACTGGCTTCTCTCACCACCAGACCTGCAGATTAAAGAGAAAAAAGCACCGTTGAGTCAACTGAAACATCAGCAGAAATTAAGAATCTATAGCTAAAGATGACTCATACAAACAAGTCGTAAGTTCTAGTTTTCCGGTTAGCCATTAATTCTCCAGAAAAAGCCTAATCGAATGTGTGTTTAAGCTTTTGCTCTGGTGTATGGCTTTTATGTTAGCTTAAGAAGCCGAAGCGCTGCGCAGTAAAAGTATCTGAGAGTTAATAGAGGCAGAGGATAATCGTACAAGATCTGCTGCTGTTTGCACAGCCAGGTCATTTCACAGTGAAGATTCACTCCAGATTGAATGTAAACTTTGTGAGATTGTTCCTTTTTGACTTCTTGCACTTAGCTCACTCCATTCCTCCAATTCCCTCTTTTCTCGGTTGTGTTTTGAAAGCAGCACCATGAGCAGAATAAGTGTGAGGTTTGAAATAGCAGCATCTAACTGACAGGAGTGCAAGGGAGCCGAGATCGAGGAGGAAAATAACATAAGGTGGCACGGGAAAAAGGGAAGAGATACTGATAGAAAAAAAAGTGGAAATGCATGACAAAAGGAAAGGAATAAAGCAGTAAGAAATCAGTTGGAGGAGGGAGCACAGAAGCACTGATAACGAAAAAAAAAAAAAGGGTTTAAGCTGACAAACTAGAAGGAAAGACGAGAGGAGAATGAGAAAGAGGGGAAGTGAATGGAGAGCAACATGACAGAAGCAGAGTGAGAGGGAGAGAGAGAGGCGGTGACAGAATGAGAGGTGAGAGAGGGCAATGAAATGTGGAAAAGGGAAAGGAGATAAAAATGGGTTTTGGGTTAAAGTATGTGGGACTGGGGAGTTAAAGATCATGGCAGATTACTTCAGGTTCAGCAGTGTTCCAAAGACCAAAGCAACAATCTCTTAGGGGGCTCCGCAAATCAGACTCGGGCCCATTACTTATGAGGACATGCGGTAAGTTCTTGCACACTGGAGAGATTGAGAGACGGTATAGCCACGCTGGCGTGAAGGCAAAGGGGACCAGTAGGAAGGCAAAATGTGAAATCCAGTGAGCAGGACTGTGGTTGAACTAAAGGTCGTTAATGGCCGACAAGAGAAATGAAGAGAAACCCAGGAGGGCAAAGAGTAAGAGAGGTTACACAAGCTTTCCTGAGAAGATAGCAGGGAGATGGGGGGGACATGGCTTAGAAAGAAAGACTTATTGAGGGGACATGAAGATGGAAGAGATGGAAAGAGGTAACTCTGTAGTTTGCAATTTATATAGCATTGTTGGCACCGGGGGGCAAAGAGGGAAAGTAAGGCAGGGAAAGTAAAAAGGTTGTAAAAGGTACCGCTGGCACAACAGCAGATAATAGCTAGACACTTTAAGGGCAGAGAGCAAAAGGCAGAAAAACTTGTGTGTGAAAAGTAGCAAACGAGGGAGATTGTTATGGCTTTAAAAATGAAAGTGCGAGGGACGCGGCAAAAACGAGAGGTAAAAACTACGGCAGGCAAAGAGGCAATTATTACGAGCAAGAGAAGCCAACACCGGAGCTGAGACGACTGGTAGGCAGGCGAGGCAATAAGCAAAAAAAAAAAAAAAAACACAGCGTGAGGACAAAAAGGACAAAAAGGGACAGGGAGGTGGTGGAGCAGTGCTGCAAAAGTAATGAGGAAAGTAAGGCAATTACAGTGAATGGTTCATAGAGCCAGGCGACAGTGATGGCAAATGGACTCAAACAAATGCAAAGAAAGCGTACGCGATGGTGCATTAATGGGACTGTGGGATTTGGAGACGCAGTGGGAGGTAGGGAGTAAGCAAGCTTGTGCTGAAAACAGATAAAGAGAATACAAAAAGCACATTTCAAGCTTGTGCGTCACTTTTTATATGGCTCATAGTGCTGAAGGTCAAACGTTATTAGCAGGAAATATGATATTTAATCAGTGGGATGTTCAAGTATTCCTCCATATGCCGACGACGCCACTGTTTACGTTGCTTTGGAAACACCACCTCGGGAGCTTTCAGTTGGCATTCAGGGAGCTGCTCACCAACCCTTCAGCAGAACAGATGTTTGCACAGAGACTTACAAACATGTACCTTGAAACCTGCTTTAATCAGCGAGATAACTCACTTTTTGCAAAAATAACTGCAGTCACAGCAGTACTTTGAAAGAGAGAAAGTGGACGGAGTGCAACATGCTGATACCTGGACCATAAATTATTGTTAGGGATGTCAGTCAGTGACTGAAGGGCAAACCGGGATATTTGTTGTAGGTATTGCATGTAATGAAACAAGTAGATATTACTTTGAAGACAAAAGGGGGCACAGAGGGTGTCAGGGATATGGGAGGAAAAAAAAAGAAAGAAAGAGGAAAAACAAAACAAAAATGGGACGTATATACTGTAGAGTGAAACAGAGAACATCGAGGAGAGCTGAGTTTGTTTCCCAGTCGGGGAAATCAATGTTTGTAATGATGAAATGTGTTCAATTTGTTTGTGAGGCTAGGCCAGGAAAGATACACCAATCAGATCCTGCTGGCTTGGAGGCAGTCCCTGAACTGTCAATTTCAGAAACTCGAACCTACATTTTTTTTTTTTTTTCTTTACTGATTTCCTTCAATTTTTTCTGAATGGTCTTTTCTCATCGCAAAAAAAAAAAAGTTAGGTTATGTTAGGCTTCAATTTTGTATTTGTGTACTGTCCCAATCTAAGTTTACTTAACTTTTTTATTTGGAACCTGTTTTTATTTTGAAAGGTAAATCGAAAGTTACTAAATTAACTTAACTCAACTTGCTTAATATTGAAAATTAAATGAAAATAGCTAAAGGGAACTTTAAAAAAGCCTCTTAAAAAAGCCTCTTAAAAACGGCTGCTGTATGTCTGACACTGTTTTTTCCTTCACTTTGAGCATAAACAGGATGTTTGTCCTCCTTGTGTCTGGACACGGAGCAAAGAGGCTGCGGGAGCAAAAACACTGACTATCTTCTATTTGGAAAAGAGCACCGGTGATGTCAACAGAGCCTTAATGAAAAGGTGAAAGAGTTTCAACTTGCTCAAAAAAGGTGTAGAGCTCGGAAAAAAAAACGCTGGGCACTGCCCCACATCTCTGGGCGGCCGCCTACTGCAGCGGAAGCTCTATCCTCATTAAAAAAAAAAGGAAAATAATGGCACTCAGAAAAGGTGGACGCAGGGCCGCATGGTGGATATGACTCTTGACTCATCAACTCAGCTGTCTGGGAGTTTTATAAAAGTGAAATGAGCCGTTCTAAGGCGCAGAGTTGTTGTGTTTTATATTTACCTTCTAGCTGCAGGAAGACACTACAGTGGATTAACTACGGTGCACCCACAGGGTCAAAATTACACATGATTAATGCAAATACAAATAATGAACGCATTCATTTTGGATGTTAATTGCACCAGGACCAAAGCAAAAAAGATAATGTTTCATTCCAGGGTCTCTTCGTCTTCAAATGAGAAGGAAATAAAACAGTGGAAATTCGACATACAAAACAAACTTTTGGCAGCACAGATTTGTAAGCATCATAAATAAACATCTATCTACATCTTCCATGAAAGGAGTTACCTTGTTTCTGTCAGTCGTGTCATTGCAGAAAACATGTCAGATGACAGCGAAAAGGTGGGAATAGACAGAAAGAGGTTACACGCGCATGGCGCCGCGTTGGGAGTCGTAGTGATGAAACTGGGGAAGTTGTTCCAATTTGTTTTTTCAATGCAAAACTCAGAAAGCTTGAGTTGCCGGGCAGAAAGTGACAGAATTACCTGAGGCTTCAATAGTCCCAGATCACTCGGTGTCTGATTTTATTTGGATATAGAGCTCAGAGCATTCACATCAGTCTGTTATAAGAAGACAAGCGGGGAAGTTTGGGTCTCTGTGGCATGACAGTCACTCACGTCAACAAAACCAGCGCTGTCAGCTGGGGGAGGTGAGGGGGAGGAAGGAGATGAAAAATGGAAGACAAGTATCAGGACAAGTGGATACTGTCACAAACATTTCTATCAATCACAGAGCTGCGCACAACCCCCGAATATTTCTCTTAGTCCTTAAGTGTCAATGCTTATAACAAAGTTTACTTGTCAGCTGGGAGAAGAAGTATAAAAGGAGCAGGATGTACTTTGTCAGGTCCGGGCTTTCTGCTTTGAACAATGAGATCTGGAAGTAAAGACGCTCGAAGACAGCTTTGGACGGTTTGTAAAGCTTTACATACATACTGTATTTTCTGTATCTGTGTGCAGCTGCCTTTCGAAAAATGTAAAATCTTAATGAGTAGGGCGGTTCAGAAAACCTGTAAGTTCCGTGCTTTGGACTTTAAGCCAACAAAAAAAAAAAAGATCTAAAAAGAGAAGCTGTACGACAGGAATTACTCACGTTCATCAATATTTCAACATTCAAGAACTCTTAAATGATTTCTGACTTCGGTAAAACACAGAATATGTTTTTGCTGGACACAATCACATCTCTGCAATTTGCATCTATTACCTATTATGTAAGCTGCCCTCAAATGTAAAAGGAATTGATGATTATATCTGCATAAAGACGTCAGATGTTCAGAAAACTGAATTTCTATTATATTTGTACTTTGATGCAATATTAGTAAGAATCAAATAAGGTCCATACCTACAGTATATGTCAATACCATGGCAACAGAAAAAAAGGCCAAAAGGCTTCTATCGGTTTCCAATCTGGGGTCCAGGCCCCCTTATGGGGGGCGGCAAAGATCTCAGTGGGGGATTGTGATGCTTTGTCTGAGGTTGTTTTATCCAAATAAACAATTCAAATTGACGTTGATTTTGGATTTTGCAATGCGGGTCCTTGGGGGGCTCAGCTTTCTTAAATAGAAACAGGGGCAAGGCAGGGTTTTTCATTTTCTTACATTGCAAGCAAAGTCTTGCACATTGCTTAATTGCACAAAGACATTGGCGACGTCTTGGTACTGAAACGTTGCCAATGTATTTGTGAAATTTAGACCGCGTCACCTCCTCTGCTCTCTGTCTGTCAGAG